GTACTGTATGTTTATATAACACAAATGCGTATTTCCTACAGATAGCAGAAAGGGGAGAAAGGCATATAGAAAGTAATCAATTTGCTATAGATGTCTCTTTGTGCACATTTTTTCAGAGGTTCAAAAATTAGTTGTCTGCTACAGGCAATTTAGGAAGGAGGTTTCTACCTGCCTGCATATCTATATATATATTATCGTTGGTACAACCGTATGCGGTCAAAACATAAACAAACAAAATGTGAACATAGCAGACGAAACTCTTACAGATTACAGCTTTCTGTATCACTGTACTAAATATAAGAATTATTTAAAAAGACGATATCGAATTCGTCACTGAATTCCCATGTTTTTTGGGACACCCTGTATATTTACATACATATGGTGGTAGGCGATTATATTAATATAATGAAGACGACTTTGAATTTCTATTTTGATTTATGTCAAGCTAGCTTTTAAATAGCGCAAACATGGACACAAAGAAAAGCTGTCAATTAATAAAGCTTCTCTTGAACTACTTGAACACTTGTAATTAGAAAATGGTTTGTTAACAATTAAAACTTAAATGAAAAAGTTGATTTTATTATATTGATAAAATAGCCTATCACCATATATAAATAAACATCCAGGCAGTAATATATAATATCAGACAGTGCCCAGGGCCAGAAGACTTCAATAATCCAGGTTTGTGGATTCAACTTCAGATGATTATAGCTACGTGTTACTCCCATGGAACCTTCACAATACGGTCTCCTTTCGTCTCCCCCCTCCCCGTCTACGAGTTACAATTGATCTCTGAGATAGTATGACCAGTCCATTGGATATCACAAAAATGGACACTAATGTAGGACTTCAGAAGCTTAGCTAGCCATATACATGTTGTTAGTCGTTTCAAACTTTATATCACAAAGAAATTAATAACGAAATGGGCTCATAATTTTTCAATTAAGCATTTTAGTAATTTAATCTCTAGGTAACTAAGAAAATTTAAAATAATGAATTTAAAATGCATTCTTGTATGTGCACACAAACCACAGCGAATTTATTGGATTCAAACATTATCAGAAGTGGCACCTAACGGTGTCTTTTGTAACTAGCCACAGTTGTCTGACCGTCACAATTTGTATTTTCTCTCTCTCTCACTCTCAGTCTCTTAATCTGTCTCTCTAGCCGTCCGCGCGGCCCGGCTCAGTACAGCGTCTTTCTGGCAGAAGAGGAGACTTTATTTTAATAAATTTACATTTCTGCAATAAAATATGAAAAACCTTTGTTAATTATTGTACTGGAAATGAATTATGAAAAAAAGCCGATATTAATGAAAATTTTAGGCAAATATTTGTGTGCAACTGCAATTGGAGCTAGAGAGCGGCCGCTGAGTTTCTTGCCACCCAGCCCCCCCCCCTCCCCCTCCCATATAATTGGTACAGCTAGATCCAGGCTCGCAACTGGGGGGGGGGGGGGCATGCCCCTCCATTAAGAAGGCTTGCTCCCCCTGCAGGGGAGGGGGGCAAGAAGTCCACCCTGTTTTGCAATTTAGCGAATCATGAGTCCTGACCTTGAGCAAATTTAAGAGCTCTAATCGTACAAAAAATATGATTATTTTACGTTAGTTCACAGAGGAATGCTTCACTTCTTAAACTGTTTCACAATGAAATTTTTGACAAATTTGACTTAGTATTGCATCTTGAAATATCACAAAGTTGGTTGATTAGTGATTTTAAGATGGATTTAGTATAATGAGTCAGTAATTGAATAATCATTAGACTTTGTGATATTTCTAGATGCAGCTCAGTCAAATTTGTCAAAAATTTCATTGCAAAACAGTTTAAGAATTCAACACACAAAAATATTAATCTTAAGTAGAATTGAAAAAATGGTTTGAGTTTTGATTTTTTGAGTGACGCGGCTGAATTTTTTAAAATCACACTGTGAAGGCCAAAAATATACCATAATTAAAAAAGTAGTTTTGCCTGGAAGAGTCAAATGAGGTGGTACGAAGGGGAAATAGTGGTGGCTCATGGCCGCCTGCCTTCCCCCGCTCATCTGACATACATCGTGTAATATTTGAGGTGGAAGGGGAAATGAGGTGCCCCGCCCTTTCTTCGGGTGTGACCGGAAACAATATGATGCCATGATTTGAGTTTTTGAGGCAAATCGGTCTAGGGTTCCTGAGATGATCGGACAAACAAATAAACAGAGATTACAACTTTACATGTATTTTCCTTTACATAAGATGGCATACCAAAAAGTAAAAACTCGTTGAAACAATTTTTAAAAAGTTTTACCGTTAGTTTTTGAATGTAGGAGGTTGACATCTTGTAAAAACTTGCCTCTGTAATGTTCACAATGGATTGGGGCTAAAATATTTTTAAAAAATAGTAAAAAATAATTAATTATTTTGTTATTTTTTTACCTTTTTGTTTATTAGAACTCCGATATATTGATCCTGTAAGAGAGATAATATAACTATAAACATGCTATAGGATTATCTGCATCAAGTAAAGAATATATATATATATATATACACATTTATATATATAAATATACATATATATATATATTTATATATACATATATATATAGTTATATATAATCTCATTTTTGGCAAATTAATTTTTGGTTAAATTGTTAAAATGCACTCACTGTAATACACATTTTGATTTAAACAAAATATTCTATATGTTAACTATCAAATATAAAATTCTATCAGTAATATGTCCATATTTAAAATGTCTTGTCTATAGAAATGTCTTTTATTAAATGTCCCATCTCCAGGGGGGGGGCCTGGGTGCAAACCCCCCCCCCTCCGGACGCGTGCCCCCCCCGTGCACGCAGGGGGGGGGGTCATTCCATATTACATCTGGAGATTTGTTTTTAAAAATCGGATTCTTGAATTTGGAGGCAGCACTTTTAAAGGTTTTCATTATCTTTTTTTTTAAATCATTTTTTAAAGAAATTGAGTCTTAGTTTCAAACTCTTTGATTATCGAATCTCTATATCTCATGCAACCCAACGCCATTGACCTTAAATATCTTAAACTATGAATTCTGTTAAATGATTAATCTAAGTTTGAAAAATCAAAGGTTTCACACCATTATTAGGCGAAAAAAATATAGGTATTAGAAAAGACGCAATCCCTTTCATTTTTTTTTCTTCGAAGTTCATAAACCTACAAAGCAGTTTAATTAATATAGGATCAATTGAGAGGTTTAAAGTGACTGTAGACATAATTTCAATTCTGATTCACAACAATACCCTTCAAAGCTTTGTCTGATCAAGTATTGCATGAATATCCTTGTTTCCCATTTTGAAAACTCATTATTTTCATTTGTGGTTTCTCTACAAAAGTTACTGGTGCATTTCTTGCTTTAGAAACGATGGAGAAATGAAGGTTTCAAATATACATCGGACATGCCACTCTATAAATGGAGGGTCACTTGAAATTATTCATGTATTCCATTTAAGTATAATTACATCATATAAAAAATACTTTAACTCTTACTTTTGCCCTTAACTAAAAAAGTTTCATTAAAAAAGCTTTAATCAATACTGCCTTCAGTGTAAATAAAGGTTTAATATCATTATAATGAAAATATAGATATTTTTCACCCCTTGAAGCTTACACCACAGTATTAAGAGGGAGTGTCTGATAAATAATTTTTCGACACTTATAATATGAAAGTGTGTATAAATCGAATAGTTTGCCTTAACATAGTTAAAAAATGTATCAATATTTTTTCAAAAAAGGGTTTTTAAGGGGGGCGCCAAAAAAATGTGCGCCCCACTTACAAAAATTCCCCCCCCCCCCCCTACACAAATGCTCTCTTATGCCCCTGTCCATCTCTGGAATATTCTGCTTTGTCAGTCTATAAGAACAAAGTTCCATTGTTAAAAAACAATTTCAACAATCTTTTTTTAAAATAACAATAACATTTGGAGAGTAAAACAATGAAAGAAATCTTAAAACTAATAATTTATATTTATGTTAAAAAACCTTTAAAGCGGAATAGATTTGAAAGTCCAGACCTTTCTCAGCCTTCTCCACGATAGGAGTCATGATCGGCAGGAATATCTAAACAGAAACTTGTAAAATATTTAAGATTCAAAAGCTGGTTCTTCTTTAACTCTATTGTGGATGGATGGGTAATGGTATGACCCAGACACTCAAGATAAAGTAAATTAATTGGACTTAAGATTGAGATCAAATATATGTGTTCAACCAAAATCTAAGGAGGTATGAGGTCTCAAAGTTGTACCAGGAATGTTGCTTGATAAATTTAACATTCTTCTTCTATTATATGTTTCCAGTGATTACTAGGTTTATAGGGAGGTCAGAAGGGCGATAGGTTGTTCAATAGAGTTTAAAATGGCAAATAATATATCAGCAAACCCCATAAAAAATTAAATATAAAAATATTAAGTTTCTCTATTATCAACTAACATGCATGCACTTAAATACAAACTTATTAAAAGTTCCATTGAAAATGAATATTTGAAAAAGAACCGTAAATTCTAAAACAAAAAATTCTGCGAAATATCAAAATGAAAATCCACGAAGCAATATAAATAATTTGAAAGAGTAAGTTTAAAAAACACCACCAGGAGTCGCTAGTATACATGCATACTTATTAAATTATCTTTACGTCAAATGATATAAACTTTATTTAAAATAGAATTAATAAGAATATAAATGCATTGGAGAATGTTAACTGGCTTATAAGTTTAGCTCCGAATATACTTGATTTTTTACGCACATTTATCCATGTTGATTTTATGCTTAATTATTTCCTTTCTATCATTATGATAATTGATTTAGAAAAATTAATGAAGTTTAAAAACTTCAAGTTGCAAGGCTGCAATGTGCCCTACAGCACGCGAGAGCCAGTCATTATTATCATTGTATATTATTTTCGTTTACTGAATTATCATGTGAAAATAATCTTATTTTCAAGAAACTGAGTTTTTGCCGCAAGCTTATATTTGCTAATCCCTATATGTTCTAGTTTACCATAAATAGCACCAATTGCCACAAAAGTTTCCCAAAAACTCATAATCAGTATTATCTGTATGCACTAGTTTTAAAAGTTCAATTGAATTTAATTATGTAAGAAGAACCATATCTTGCTAAAACTAGAAATCCGCGAAATATTAAATGATAATTCACGAACTAAAATCCTTCCTTTACAAAAATAAAATTTAGAAATACACTACCAGGAGTTGCTGGCGTCCATCCATTTTTATTCAAGATTCTTTATGTAAAAAAAATAGAAACTTTATTTCAAATTAAATTAATAAGAATATAAAATTTATTAGAAAATGTTAAACGGTTTTGCGAGTCGGTTTTTTAAAATTATTAAATAACGACGACAAAAAATGTAACAAAAATTCTACAGGAAACTAATTAGTTGTAATTTATTAATTTATTAATTTTATTTAATGATGAAAACGAAATAATTGATTCTAACATTGATTTATTGACAAATTTCTTTTCAGTAATATGTTCCTAAACATTTCATTATTTTACTATAAAATTTTCACAATTTGTCGTCTTTATTTAATAATAAAAAAAAGATTCTCAGAACGTACCCTCCCAAATCGTTGATTTTGAACTTCGATTTTGCGCTCAAACTCTGTAATTATAGATATTTAAAACGTTTTATATATGTCTGAAATGAATCCTAAAAAAATTCTCCACAATACTGCAATCTCAGTTCAGCCACCATACATTGCCGGTCACTCTCTTTAATACGGTTTTTAAGAGAGGCATGCACAAAGGCTGCTATAGGGGACTTTTTCTTATATTTGATGGATAATTTCGTGATCCCTTTATTTACAAAGAAAAAAAGTTGCTGAAAAAAACTTTAAACCTGCAGTTGAAAGCAAATATATTACTTTGAATCTTAGACCCACCAGTATTTTAAGAAAAAATTTGTTCCGTTGATTGCCAAAAATTAGTATCAAAACGGAATGACCGTGGCTACATATAATTTCAAAATCATGATGATAATATCCAAAATATAATGAAACCGCAGATCGCGGAAAACCTTTAGAAAATGTTTATGAGGTTTTAAACATGCGTTGGGGTCTCTAGCAGTGGTATTCTGTACTAAAAATCAAAAAAAACCAAATTATGCTGACAGCTATCTCAAAAACCGTTTTTTTATATCGTGGATTTTATAAAAACAGTCATTTGTAAAGAAATAAAACCATATTCGTTTTAGAATACTCCGGATATATTATTGTTAAAATACGATTTATCTAATAATTGAAGAGCAATTTAAGACTTTCAAAATGTTCATCTTTTTAAGGATAAAAATTTAAATTTAGAAAATAAGAGAATTGATTTGTCTTTATCTAAAACCATTTGCATACGAGTGCTAAGTAAAGTCTAGGGGGGGGGGCCTTAAGGCTATATAGATGGGGTATGTCTAGGGAGGAGGGGGCTGGATATAATTCTTACTCCAGCTGATATATTCATACTTCATAATTAATTTTTACTCCAGGATTGATCCTTACTCAAGGATTCATTCTTACTCCAGGATTCATTCTTACCCCAGGATTCATCCTTACTCCAGGATTCATTCTTACTCCAGGATTTATCCTTACTCAAGGATTCATTCTTACTCTAGGGTTCATCCTTAATCCAGGATTCATTCCTACTTCAGGATTAATTCTTACTCCAGGATTCATCCTTACTTAATTACTTATGGATTCATCCTTACTTTAAGATTCATTCTACCCCAGGATTCATTCTTACTCCAGGATTCATTCTTACTACAGGATTCATTCTTACTCCAGGATTCATTCTTACTCCAGTTCTTACTCCAGGATTCATCCTTACTCCAAGATTCATTCTTTCCCCAGGATTCATCCTTACTTCAGGATTCATTCCTACTCCATCCAGTATTCACTACATTACTCATTCCAGGATTCATCCTTACTCCAGGATTCATCCTTACTTCAGGATTCAACCTTACTCCAGGATTCATTTTTACTCCAGGATTCATTCTTACTCCAGGATTCAATTTTACTCCAGGATTCATTCCTACTCCAGGATTCAATTTTACTCCAGGATTCATTCCTACTCCAGGATTCATCCTTACTCCAGGATTCATTCTTACTCCAGGATTCATCTTAATCTAGGACTCATTCTTAATCCAACGTTCTTTCTTACTCCAAGATTAATTCTTAGTCCAGGACAGGATTCATTCTTACTCCAGGATTCATTCTTACTCCAGGATTCATCCTTACTCCAGGATTCATTCTTTCCCCAGGATTCATTCTTACTCCAGGATTCATTCTTACTCCAGGATTCATTCTTACTCCAGGATTCATTCTTACTCCAGTATTCAAGCTTACTCCAGGATTCATTCTTACTCCAGGATTCATTCTTGAATAGTATAATCCCTAGCTAAGTTCCTGGATTGGAGGAATAACAACCTCAGTTTGAATAATATAATCCCTGGCTAAGTTCCTGGACTGAAGGAATACCAACCTTAGTTTGAATAATATAATCCCTAGCTAAGTTCCTGGACTGAAGGAATACCAACCTTTGTTTGAATAATATAATCCCTGGCTAAGTTCCTGGATTGAAGGAATACTAACCTTAGTTTGAATAATATAATCCCTGGCTAAGTTCCTGGTCTGAAGGAAAACCAACCTTAGTTTAAATAATATAATCCCTAGCTAATTCCTGGTCTGAAGTAATACTAACCTTAGTTTGAATAATATAATCCCTGGCTAAGTTCCTGGACTGAAGGAATACCAACCTTAGTTTGAATAATATAATCCCTGGCTAAGTTCCTGGTCTGAAGGAATACCAACCTTAGTTTGAATAATATAATCCCTGGCTAAGTTCCTGGACTAAAGGAATACCAACCTTAGTTTGAATAATATAATCCCTGGCTAAGTTCCTGGATTGAAGGAATACTAACCCTAGTTTGAAAAATATAATCCCTTGCTAAGTTCCTGGTCTGAAGGAATACCTTAGTTTAAATAATATAATCCCTAGCTAAGTTCCTGGATAGAAGGAATACTAACCTTAGTTTGAATAATATAATCCCTAGCTAAGTTCCTGGTCTGAAGGAATAATAACCTTAGTTTGAATAATATAATCCCTAGCTAAGTTCCTGGTCTGAAGGAATACTAACCTTAGTTTGAATAATATAATCCCTGGCTAAGTTCCTGGACTGAAGGAATACCAACCTTAGTTTGAATAATATAATCCCTTGCTAAGTTCCTGAAGGAATACCAACTTTAGTTTGAATAATATAATCCCTGGCTAAGTTCCTGGACTGAAGGAATACCAACCTTAGTTTGAATAATATAATCCCTAGCTAAGTTCCTGGACTGAAGGAATACCAACCTTAGTTTGAATAATATAATCCCTAGCTAAGTTCCTGGTCTGAAGGAATACTAACCTTAGTTTGCATAATATAATCCCTGGCTAAGTTTCTGGACTGAAGGAATACCAACCTTAGTTTGAATAATATAATCCCTGGCTAAGTTCCTGGTCTGAAGGAATACTAACCTTAGTTTGAATAATATAATCCCTGGCTAAGTTCCTGGACTAAAGGAATACCTACCTTAGTTTGAATAATATAATCCCTGGCTAAGTTCCTGGATTGAAAGAATACTAACCTTAGTTTGAATAATATAATCCCTTGCTAAGTTCCTGGACTGCAGATACCGAATAAGTCCTTGGTCAGTTAGGTCTTCTTCTTGAATGAAAGCATAGCCCTGTATAATTGTTTTATTCTTAGTTTATTTTTGTTTTATTTTTTTTAATGTGTTTTTGGTTTATCCCATGAAAAGTTATAATTTTATAGAATTACAAACATCTTAATTTGTTTTGTTTAAATAACTTAACATTTTTTTAGTTTTTGTGAAATCGATATTCATTGTATTTGTTAGGTAATTTGGGGGTATACATATCCACAGACTACACAGACTGCTTATCTCCTTTCACAGGGTGGGCTACGTAGGCCTAAGTTGGCCCGGCACGACATGCTACGTTTTTACGATAGGTTTTTAGAGTGCCATCTCATGGCCACTTGTTGAATATAATACCCATTTACAACTTTAAAAGAAATACTCCAATTTTAAACATAAAACATAACATTTATGAATTAAGTCTTTTATTGAAGATTTTTTGTTTCGTATCCAAAGCATAGAGTAATAAAACGAAGAGGTGAAGCTTAGCTCAGATGTACACAACCGACCTGTCTATTAATTAATTAATAGATTGGTCGGTTGTGTACATCACGATATGTTTACGTATCTAACGCTGTACACTTGTATATAGAGCGACCGTATTTAAGCATAGAGAATAGAATATATATTAGAGGGGAATTTAAGGAATCTCTCGGTATGAATTTTTTCAGTCCCTTTCAGCCTGAAAGGGAGTTCAAAGTGTACAAATCATGTAAATGTTCACAAATTATATGCAGTATAGTACATTAATACAGTATGTTCCCCTGAGCCCGAAATTTAAAAGAGTATCGTTGAACTAAACTCCCGAGTTTCCTTTTTGGGGTCTTAACATTTGTGTAGATTTTGATTTAAGAGATTCGAAAAAAATGGAGAATATAAATCAAGTGAAAAAAATAATATTTTATTACAAAAATATTGATATTCATAAAACTGCCTAACCCCATTTGTGAAACCCGGGTTTTAAAACTGGTTTTCATAACGATACCCTGTCTTAAGTTTTGGGCTTAGACTATTCATTTCAATTTCGAATTTTTTAAAGATGTTAAATAAACTTTATAATGACTTAGGTGAATAAAAAACATCATTTGATTTATAGTTATAACGGAAAATCATCGTTTGTAAAGTGAAAGGCATAGAGTCTATGTGAAATGATCATTGGTCAATTATGAAACCAGCCTATTTCATAATTTGATTTTCTTTTAACATTAATTTTAGATTTTCTATAAAATGTTATTCCAGGGCCCAACAGGTTATATAGCATAAATATGTGAAGTACACCTGCAGTATGGAAACAGTACAACAAAATGGCCGTTTTACACTTTTTTTCTAGTAAATTCCCCTCTAATATATATTCTATTCTTTTTGGATTTAAGATACAAAAGTCAAACCCCCTTGGCCCTCGTTTATTCTGAAATTCACCTGTGCAATCTCTATTCCTATATGTTCCATGGCACGAATCAGATTTTCGTATGCAACAATTAATCTCCAGATCTTGAATTAAATAAATTAAATTTACTTTGCAATTAAATAGTGTATTTGTAAATGTGAATAACAGTGAGTATTGAAATATTGTGGAACGAATCTTGATCTTATTTCACTCTAAAATATTGCTAAAGATTTTTAATTTGTAATTGTTGCAATTGATATATCTTTTAAAATGTTTAGGGCAGATTTTACAGAAAGAAATGAGTTGCCCATGGCAAAGTTCCAATTAAAAGAGAGAAAAAGACGACGATAGTTCTACTGTTTTCCGGTTGTCACTGTACGGGACTTATTTACCTTTTTTAGTGGTACTTTGCTGACTTTACCAGATAGTTTGTTTAGAAGAATATTATTGATAGAATTGTACATCACCATGGCCTGAATTATGAATATTTTTTCAAACGTTTTTTTCGCATAGTTTATGGGTCGTATGAATGTATAATTCAAAAATTTAAAAAAAATTAATTCTCAAAGAAAACAAAAGAAATTGGAGAAATCTTAAATTGAAATGAAAAGGAAAATATTGAGTTAAAAAGAAAAACAATACCTGCTGTACTGTAAATTATACCTGTTGTACTGAAAATTATACCTGATGTACTGTAAATAATACCTACTGTACTGTAAATCCTACATGCTGTACTGTAAATTATACCTGATGTACTGAAAATTATACCTGATGTACTGTAAATAATACCTACTGTACTGTAAATTCTACCTGCTGTACTGTAAATCCTACCTGCTGTACTGTAAATTATACCTAATGTACTGTAAATCCTACCTGCTGTACTGTAAATTATACCTGATGCACTGTAAATCCTACCTGCTGTACTTTAAATTATACCTGTTGTACTGTAAATTATACCTAATTTTCTGTAAATCCTACCTGCTGTACTGTAAATTATACCTAATGTACTGTAAATCCTACCTGCTGTACTGTAAATTATACCTGCTGTACTGTAAATCCTACCTGCTGTACTGTAAATCCTACCTGCTGTACTGTAAATGTAGAAGTATTATCTGTAGGTTCAGTTTTCAGGTTTATAGAGTCCAGAAAAAGACTCCGGAAATCATCAAGCCTAATTTGAAATCGAAGCTTGCTGCTGAACCTTTGATCTTCCTGGATACAAACCAATTTTTAGACCAGGCTAATATCTATATCCTATCGAGATATTCCGTTGAAGAAATTAAAAAAAAACATTATTTAATTTCTTTATTTTTTCATCAAAATCAAGTCACGATCGAGGATTTTTTTTTTTTTGTTAAAAAGTTCTGCTGCGGTAATGGCGACAACATTTAACATTTTTGTACCGATTATTCTTAGATTAATTGAAAATAATTCTCAAATGTTATCTTTTTTGAAGTAAAGGTGCAAAAAGGTTAAGCTCGGATTTCAGTAAAAAAAAAATTAAAGACTTTAAATGTTTTTCAAATGACTAAAAATTCCCTTTAAAGGAACTGTTGTTGAAACAACGATATTTTTTTAACCTGAATCTGGTCAATTATCTAGAAGATATGTCGTTTTTCATGGTTTCTCATGCATGCTTAATAAAACAAAACTTTAAGGTGTACGATTGTGAATAGGGCATCCATTCTAAAAATGAAGAATTAACTAAAATTCCATTTTGACATGTATTAGGAATGATACTTCTATTTTTCCCTGATTTATTGACGTAGGTTTAATTAAACAAAATCTAAAACATAAATTGATTTTCCTTGTCTGTCTCCCAGTTCGATATATCTAGAATCATCTGATCCGTCAAATAAAACGTATCCTGGAAACAAAAGTGATGACATATAATTGAAAAAGTTGCCGCAAACTTGAGATATAAAAAGTTTTATATCATCAGGGAGCAAAGATATACGGATTATAAAATTTTAGTTAGAGCCAAAATGATTGCTAAATTATCGTATTTTCAATCAGAAAATCCAGCCGTTTTATTGGTTTAAGGAATTTAATCCGATGTTAGCTTAGATTAATATCTAAATCTTGATCAGTAAATTTACCAATAAACAGATTAGATTACCTTTAATCTCTCCAATATTTGAGCTGATTGCTCATTAGTTCTCTGCCCAGATAGATAATATGTCATTAATCCCCGTTCTTGCTGAAGCTGAGTTATACATCTACCCATCTAGAATATATGTTATAAATCCCCCTGCAGCTGAGTTATACATCTACCCATCTAGAATATATGTTATAAATCCCCCTGCAGCTGAGTTATACATCTACCCATCTAGAATATATGTCATTATTTCTACTAATGTATCTAAAATGTATCTATAAATTCTTTACAGATAATCAATGAGAAGCCAGAAGCAAATATTGACAAATAAATCGAGCTTAAAAATTTACACTAAAGTTTTTAGGTAAAGCAGAATTGTAACTTTGCAAATTTGATTTTTTATATCATATCTAACTTACAAACCCAAAATTTACAAAACTGGGAAGATCTATGTTTGTTTATATTTCTCCCAAAATTTGCAGTACACTGAACAATTCACCAAACAATGTCTCACCTCATAACTTTCAGTTGCAAAGTGAGTTGTTCCAACAAGACCAGTTCTCAGAGTCACTACAGAAGCCAGTGTTATGATATTCTAAACAAAACTAAATTTATATTGTTTCTCTTTGTCTCACATCTCACACAAATGTAAACAAAATTATGCAATAGTGAGTTGCCATTTTTGGCCACCAGGTGACGCAAAAGTGGCGCAGTGGTGGCGGATCAAGAAGTGGCGCTATGTCATTCCTAATTATTTACAAATTTGACTACCTCAGATTAGGTAAAAATGTAAATTTTAGCATTTTAAGATTGATATCAATAAATTCTGCGGTTAATTTGCAATATTCTGTAATCTGATTTGAATTTAGAAAACAACCAGTTTCAAAAATAATCCCACGTAAGAAATTTCTGTTTAAAATTTAAATTTTCATTTGTATTCATGTTCATTTTACTGTTTTTATCATTTTATAACCCAATTCAGGGAGCCAAAAGGAATAAAATTTTGTTTTTGTAAAATTTTTGAAAAATGTCACACCCCTAGGCCTACTATCGTCTTGATGTCGCTGTAATATTACTAAAACTATAATGTGTTTAAATGCTGAAATAATGATAACTTAACTTTAGACATCCTTGCCCCCCCCCCCCCCCCAGTATCCATGCCTGAACATTACATTAAGAATTTTTGATTAAAATGAGAAATAAATCGGAATATTTCTGGTTGCTTGGATAAACAAAATAATTACAAAATTATTCCAAATTTTTATATAATTAATTCAATAATAGTGACGGATTTTCCCAATTTTAAATATTGTATACAATCCTGAAATTTACAGTGTATAGAAATGAAGGGTTACCCACAAATATTAGATAAAAAAAAATTCAAAGGTTTCTTATTATTTGTGGCCGTGGGTCCCCCTGTATAACCTGGATGACCAATGTCCCAATAGGAAAAAGAGGAAGAATGAGAAGTCCAACTGTCATGAAAGCATTGCTTTTCCTGCATAAAATAATTCAATTAAAGAAACTGTAAGAGTGATATAAATTTTCAAGTGACCCTTCATCCACAGATGGCAATGCCCGATTCACAATGACATCATTAAACAATAGATATCAATGTTTATAAATTTGAAACCTGATTCTTTTTAGCTGTGGTCTTTCTACTAAAGTAACTTGTGCATTTTTACTGAAGGAAATCATTTTGGAATTATTATAATTGTCATCTTTGCATAGAGGGTCACTGAAATCACGCGTACAACAGTCCTGTAAGTTCTCCACGGATCTGAATGTGGTCTTTGTTCAGGGTATCTCCAAACCAAACGCGGAATGATGATCGGTGGGAGAAACTCCCCGGCCCCGAGAGAGAAGACAGTCAGCTGATGTCAAGATGATTCTCATCACAACTCATAAACAATTCAATAGTGATAATATAAGTTGTTTTACTCGTATATTCAAATATTTAACCTTTTATAGCTGCATTTACTCTTATTGACCCGATGAATTGTAAAAGTTTTATATCTTAAACTTAAAGTTTTATCTGAGAATGTAGCAGTTAAAGCCTACCCAGCTTCTTTCCTATTTATGTAAAATAGCTTGATATTAATTAGAATGGGTTGATTATATATCCCATTCTGTTCTATAGAATTGTTGCCCAGGTTGCATTAAATCCAGGTTTATTAACCATCTGTATATTTACTTAAATGATGCTTCTCTTGGTCGAGCTAAAAAACATCAAGCTATTCTGGCTTGATCCTACTTAGCAGGAAGCCAATGCTGTGGGAACATGTCTCCTCCTCCATGCTCCTCTCATAGGGCTCAGTCTAAAGATATATGTAAGAGGTACGTGAACTTTTAGTGAAATGAACCTTTGAACCTTTGAACCTAAAATCTTAAACCTAAACAGTCTCACATTATTTATTCTAACAAAGAATTATTTTAGGATTAAACTGAACCTCGTTGCTACTCAATAGCCTCACACTCCGGAGCACCTGTGTTCTGGTTGATGTACAAGACGGATCTCACCTAGAACTCTGTTGTGATCCACTCCTCCAGCTCAACCACGAAGTACCTGTAGTGCTCTTCCTGGATCATATTCTTGATAACCTCCTTCTACCTCGCCCACTGGTCCAGTTAAAAATGTGGATAACATGATGAAACCTCGAGTTATATGACAAACGTGTCCTAAATGTTATCCTTATTTAGTTCAAGTTTGTTTGGTCAATGAACTCCTTCAAGACCTCCACTTAGCAGCAGACCTTGTATTGTACCTTATCCACCATCTGTATAATCCATATACTCTACTGGACAGACTCAACAATCGGATCATTGATAGGCACTAATTTGATTTATAAGTGTCCCTGTGATCAATGTAAACAAGCTGTTACTTAAGCAAATAATTTAAAGAAGCAATAAGTGAACCGATAAATAACCCTGCATTTTTAGTCTTGTCCCAGATGCTCATACCTGACTGCAGAGCAAGATAGATAAACTCGCAAAGCATAGAAATCTTTCATTATGGCTATGAACCCCCTGGCCAGTTCAACATTGTAAATTTTCATTTATTTATCATTTATAAAACGTAATCCTGGGCAACACCAAATGGCTTATTTTATTATTGAAACATTTCTTATACAAAGTTGGAACTGATCATATTGTTTTCCTTTCAGTTCACGACTAGAGCTGTATGAACACAATGTTAGGTACTTTCCTAAAGGCATTTTCCCAAGCAGCAACTTTCCAAGGCTATTTTCTCAAGTGGCAACTTCCTAAGTCTAACCTTGCTACAGCGCTTAGCCCCCAGCCTGTTCTAGCCGTGGCACTCGGCCCCCTAGCTCATCCTAGCTGCAGCGCTCGGCCCTTCATTGCAGCCTGCGGCGCCTCAGAGGGCCTAACCTTTCCTTAGTGAAGTTGCCACTTGGGAAATTGCACATCTGGGAAGTTCCCACTTGGGAAATTGATGCTTGGGAAGTCGCTCTTGGGAAAGTACCTAACACCATAAACACACCTATCCTAAAATACATGCTTGGAAAGACTGTCCGTGCATTAAAGAGGTGCGCCAGGGTATTATGTATGCTCCCTACCAGCTCCACCTGGGTACGTAACCTACCCCCAGTTGGGCCTAGAGCACAAGTCCCTTTAAAAGAACATTGTTTTTTTAAAGTTAGCATCTAAAAGCACTGATTACTTGCTTCAAATTCTAATTTTCTAATTCCCTAGATATTTTCAACCATTTGATTTAGCAGAATTCATAAATTGAAACATAAAACTTCTACGACATCAGGTTGCAAAGAAATATGGATTTACAATTTTGTGTTCCTTATTGTTGAATAATAAGATTACAATTTTTTTGTCAGATGTTTATGCTATTAGATGCAATAGTAGATTTAAAAAGGCTTATTTTAAAACCAGTATTTATTTCAAAGAATTGAAGAAAGCTATGTGGTGAGTGTTTTCTATCCACATATTCAAATAAAATCCCTGATCTATTGGGGTACGCAATAATGATCCTTTCTAAACTTAGTTGTTTCAGTGATCATCGAAACTTAATAGCTAGTGGAAAACAATTTTTTTAATTCAGTTAAAACAGGGGAAAATCACTATATGAAATAATTAATTTTTTTTGGATGGAACAATCATTGAAAAGTAGATAATCCATCACTCTCAGTAAAATAACTTGTTATGAATAATTGTAAAGCTAACCTTAGCTCCAGTGAGTCCATGCATAATAGTTTTCCACATAATCTCCAGGGAGCAGATACAGAGATCATGATAGTTGAGGAATCATATACAGTATGTGAAGTAAGGGAAGTAGAAGTGCTTTCAACCTACAATATTTGTAAACAGTCAGAAACCTAATTTTGGATACCTAGACAACATGGTTCCCCTGAACCTGTTATGAACCTAACCCAAGAGAACTAGTGACACATTGTTCCCCTGAACCTGTTATAAACCTAACCCTAGAGAACTAGTGACACATGGTTCCTCTGAACCTGTTATAAACCTAACCCTAGAGAACTAGTGACACATTGTTCCCCTGAACCTGTTATAAACCTAACCCTAGAGAACTAGTGACACATGGTTCCTCTGAACCTGTTATAAACCTAACCCTAGTGAACTAGTGACACATGGTTCCCCTGAACCCGTAATAAACCTAACTCTGGAGTATTAGTGACACATGGTTCCCCTGAACCCATTATAAACCTAACTCTAGAGAACTAGTGACACATGGTTCCCCTGGACCATTCATAAACCTAACTCTCGAGAGCTTGTGACACATGGTTCCCCTGAACCTGTTATAAACCTAACCCTAGAGAACTAAGGACACATGGTTTCCCTGAATCCGTATTAAACTTAACCCTAGAGAACTAGTGACACATGGTTCCCCTGAACCCGTCATAAACTTAACCCTAGAGAACTAGTGACACATGGTTCTAAACCTAACCCTAGAGAACTAAGGACACATGGTTTCCCTGAATCCGTATTAAACTTAACCCTAGAGAACTAGTGACACATGGTTCCCCTGAACCCGTCATAAACTTAACCCTAGAGAACTAGTGACACATGGTTCGCCTGAACCCATGATAAACCTAACTAAAGAAAACTAGTGACACATGGTTCCCCTGAACCCGTCATAAACCTAACTCAAGAGAACAGGTGACACATTGTTCCCCTGAACCTGTCATAAACCTAACCCTATAGAACTTGTGACACATGGTTTCCCTGAATCCGTCATAAACCTAACTCATGAGAACTAGTGACACATGGTTCCCCTGAATCCGTCATAAACCTAACTAAAGAGAACTAGTGACACATGGTTCCCCTGAACATAAACCTAACTCATGAGAACTAGTGACACATGGTTCCCCTGAATCCGTCATAAACCTAACTAAAGAGAACTAGTGACACATGGTTCCCCTGAACCCGTCATAAACATAACTAAAGAGAACTAGTGACACATGGTTCCCCTGAACCTGTCATAAACACTGGTGTACATCCTTCCCCTGGCTATGGGAGGTTCCCAATAAAATTATATATTATCTGACCTCTCCTGTGAGTGCCATTGTTCCCCTATGACTACTAGAGTATAGATTATCTTGATTCCAACCTATTATAGAGATAAGTATAAATTCAATAATCCCGAATAACATGCAAGTTCAGCAACCAGGGGCGGATACAGGATTTAAGTGAGGGGGGTGCTAGATTTGTTTCGGAACAAAAAAAATCCAGATTTAAGAACCAAAACGTTTTTGGAAATTTTTTTTTTGATAGATATAATTCTGTTTTGCACTAGGTTTTCTTTCCTTTAAGTGCTATTGAGTAGCTATTCTGAAATAAGTGGGGGGGGAGGGCTACACCCCCCCTGTATCCGCCGCTGTCAGCAACCAAGAAAAAATATGAGAATTTGAATTCTAGCAAAAATAATGCGTTGTCCTCATTTTTGTTATGAAATATTATTTTATTTAGTTTTTTTCATGTTCTCCCTTTTTTGAATCTCTTAAATCAAAATCTACACAAATGTTAAGATCCCAAAAAGGAAACTCGGGAGTTTCGTTCAACAATACTCTTAAAAATGTTGCTCTCTGATTCTATATCCCATATGTCATTTAATACGGTGTAATCTGTAGATGCATTACACTGAGTCAAGTATATATGAATAGACCTCAAATAAGGAATTGTTTTTTGAAGATCTGGAATTACAAAAAATTAGCGTAGGTTGGGGACTGGATATGCCCCCCCCCCACATGTTTCTTTCATTCAGGGGCGTACAAAAGCGTTTGTGTAGAGGGAAGCAATTGTTTAGGGGGGCAACATTGTGCCCCCATAAAACCCCTTTTTTGAAAAAAAATATTGATACCTTTTTTAACTTTGTAAACTATTCGATCATAGACACACTTCAATAGTACAAATGTCAATAATTATTCATGTAATTTTCTTAACAAAAACATAAACCCAGTTTCTAAATAGTTTAGTATAGTTCTGAGTAGGGTTTCCAGCGAACGAAATGTTACGGGGAAAAATGCGAACAGTTTCGGTCGCATTTCGCAAACTTTTTCACGAAATTTCGCATTTTTTCGCGAAAACGAAGTAAAATTTTGTGAAAAATTTTTCGCAAATATGCAAAATACGAAAATATTTTAGCAAAATGTGAAAATTTCTCAAAAATGCTAAAATATTTTCGCGAAATAATCTCACTTTCTTTACTAATTAAAAAATGTTTGATGAAGAGAATTTAATTTGATTAGCTATCTTTTTAAGTTTCTGCCTGTCTGTTCACAATATACATACGTTCAATTTTCGCATTATTTTTTTTCGCAAATTTTTCGCATTGTTTTTATTGCAAAATTTTCGCATTATATTTTTCTCAAAATTTTTGCATTATTTTTTTGTTTATAATAATATATATTATAATAACTAATCTTATCTAAATGGGGGGGCGTCCCCTGCGCTTGTTTCCATAAAGTTTGACTTGATTATCTTAACCCTAAACAGGCTGGGGGTTGGGGTTGGCTTTCTTGTTAAAATTTTTTATTTTTTTATTTACAGGGTAGGGTACAGGGCGGAAAAAAGTCTGGTCTGTGAAAAAATAGCCCATTTAACTTTTTTGTGACTAAAGCTACAGATCTAAAAACTATATTTTTAAAAAGCCCTTGAAAAATGCATGTAGAAACATGTGTCACACTTTGATATTTGTTTAAAACAAAAAATATTTTTTTTATTTTTTTACCCAATTTTTTAGGCATTTTTTTCCACCCTCCCTAGCCCCCAAACTATTAAAGGTATTGGTCTAATTTTTGTTTCTTTGAGTTGGCCATGAAAAATTGGGCTATGAACATGCATTTCAACCCTATACCTATAATTCTCTATGGCCTTTTCTTAGGGGGAGGGCAAACGCCCCCGGTCCCCCCAGGCTTTGCATAAATTCAGACCCCTCAGCCTTTATAGGGTTAAAAAAAGGGCAGAGGCACCTTTTTTAATACGTTTATTTATCTCATGTTTAGATGTAGATTTCACTGTGAAAGGAACTGAGCGCTTGATCCCATATTTTTGCATCAAGCATGGTCTAAGTCAGGTTGAGGCACATGAGTGATAAGTTCCAATTTTCCAGATTAAAATACAGTTCAGAACTTTTTTTACATTAAATGTTTACAATAGCCTTTAGCCTTGAGAATTGAGAAAGATAAAAATATATTTTTTAAAACTATAAACTATAGTATAATAAAATTTCTACAATAACTCTTATTGGTTTTCTTGTTCCTGTGATACTGATTTTCGCCATTCTTTCTTTCTTTTCACCCTAAAGGGGGGGGGCGCCCCCCCCTCTCAGGTGCTAGGGGAGGGCGAGCGCCCGGCCGCCCCCCCCCCTAGTTGCGCCTCTGAATTTTTCAATTTAATTTGTATGACTTACAAATATTAAGATATAACTTTCCACTACAAATAAGAAACGGCCCTCCTCCCATTCCAGCAATATATCAATCTATGACTGTAAACAATCACAAGACCCCCCCCCCCGCTCTCCTTTAGCATTAGCAAACAATAATAATAAATAAACTCAAAAGTTAGAACAGCTTCTATAATATAGGTTTATACACTTTAAAATACTAGCTCATCAGCTGATATAGGCTAGATTTAACATTAAATGATCTGATTTTAATCTAGAAACACTATTGGTGTAAATTTGAGGTGTTGATGCTCAATCTTTAAAAATAAGTATAACTTTTGTAAGGTTGCACTTTCTACATTATTTCAGAGAAGTTTGAAATGCGCGGAATACATTGATAAAAATCGAAAACTGCTAACCGGTGCACTCAAGCAACTTAGTTAGAAAAGACACCGCTAGGAGTCACTATAGACAAGTTATGAATCTCATAAATTCGCTGCGTTTTGTGTGTTCATACAAGAGTGCATTTTGATTGATCATTTCATATTTCTCAAGTTTATTTTAGATTAAATTACTGAACTTGGTTGATTATAAATGATAAAAAACGGTTTGCCAATAATTTCTTTGTTTAAATCTTGATACACCTTTTCTAAATACTCAGGATTCAAATTCAAATTAGCTACTTCATCCTAATTTCTATGCAAGCCTCCTATCATTTAAAGATACCCGGCTGACGAGCCCAGATATATGTACGAAAGAGTACCCTGCAATATATTTCGTATACTGCTTTGAGAGAATTCCCGACGTTTGAATCCCTCCTCCTAATATTTAAACACTTTTTTCCCATTGTAAAAACCTTCCACCTAAAAAAATACATGGAGAGACCCTAGATAGGGGACAAGAGCTTATGAAAAGACAACAAAGAAAAAAACTGTATTACTATAAAAATCGCCAGCAAGGCAGAGGTGTACACGGGGGGCCGGGCCCCCACAAAAAAGATACTTTTGCCCAGAACTAAAATAGTTTCATTAAAAAAGCTTTAATCAATTCTGCCTTCTGTGTAAATATATCTTTGAAGTGTCTGATGAGTCCACTTAAGAAAATTACATAAATAAATTATTAACACTTGTTATATGGAATTGTGTATATGATCGAATAGTTTACATAGTTAAAAAAGGTATTAATACTTTTTCAAAAAAAGGGGTTTTTAAGGGGGGGCACAATTTTTTGCCAGGAGGCCGGGACACAACATTTTTTTTGCTCGCGTGCCACCCCCCCCCCCCCTTGGTGTTTGATACTCAAATGAGCTCGTACTCTCCTGCAGCAAGGGATTCAAATTAAATTGTTTCATGAAAATTATGTGTACTTAAACATGCACTTTCATTCACGAAGTACCATTCAAAAGTAAATTAAACCTTGAAAAACATAAATTTGAGAAAAGATGAAAATCAATTTAACCTTTAAATACATTTATTTTAGACGTTTTAAACATTTATTTTCAAAGAAGCATATTTACATGCCTCTCTGTATATGCATTAACAATTGTTAAGATAGTTTTAAAACATAAACCGAGATGTTTATTTAAATGTTCCTTTATTCTTTTTACTGCTTTCATTTAATATCTAGTTAAAGTTTTTTTTCAATCTACTGCAGTTTATTTCTTAGTTTTCTTTTCTATAGGCTCTTGTCCCCTATCTAGGCTCTCTCCATGTATTTTTTGGAACATTTCCACAGTCCACTTCCTCCACTAGATCTTCTGAGGGATAAAAAAGATCATCTAAATTTAATATTAATCCAATCACAGTTTGTTGTCGGCTCCAACAAGGCGAAGACCTTTGGTATGCAGATTTTTGCAATAAATACGCATCAGGACCAGTTTAGAGGACTTTTTTAGAGCAGAATTTAGCACTTACCTGAAAACATTGAAAGTTAGCTTTTTTCAAATAATAAGTTTCAGAAGAAGTAACAGTCATCTTTGATAAATCTCTCTACAAACACAGTTTGCAAAGATGTAAACTTTGGGAGGAAGGATTTAAATCTTAGGAGGATCAGGACTTTAACTTTGGGTGGATGGTTTAAATGATGGGAGGAAGGATTCAAACGTCAGGAGAAGGGTATCATGCATCAATTTATTCAGCAATAATGACTCCCACGTCTGATCCCTAAATAGTATACGACGAGAATTGCAGATTACTCTACAACGCATCATTCTATATGTATACCAGCCACACAGCCATTACTGGTAGCAGACGTCGAATAGCCTAGATTGTAAATTGAAATTGATTTGGAAATTTGATTAGATTACAAAAAAATTCGTATGGATATTTAAAAAAAGAAATTATTGGCAAACTGTTTTTTATCATTTTTAATCAAGTTCAGTAAGTTCAGTAATTTAATCTTAAATAAACTGGGGAAATATGAAATGATCAATCAAAATGCACTCTTGTATGAGCACACAAACACAGCGAATTTATGAGATTCATAACTCGACTATAGTGACTCCTAGCGGTGTATTTTCTAACTAAGTTGCTTGAGTGCACCTGTCAGCTGTTTTCGTAGTTTTTTATCAACGTATTCTGCGCATTTCAAACGTATATGAAATAATGTAGAAAGTGCAGCATTACAAAAGTTATCCTTATTTTTAAAGATTGAACATCAACACGTCAAATTTACACCAATAGTGTTTCTAGATTGAAATCAGATCATTTAATGATAAATCTAG